GAAAAGAACCTAAGTATACAACAAAATGAGCTTGTTTTGTCTATTTTCGAGATTGCGGATTTGTGTTTTTATGGTGTCTGGTTGTTTGTGAGAACAATGTGAATTGCGTATTTGAATTTTTACGAATCAACCTACGAACTCATTTTCATTAGCATTATGCGCTTCATTAAACGGAAAAAGTAATGCAGCAGAATTACACTCAACCATACCAGCAGCAACGATTAAAATGATACAGTTAATTTAAGAGGAATGAGAAAAAGTGCGCAAAAAGGCATCAAGAAAAGTTTGTAAAAACTCAAATTGGTTTAGAATCAAGGTGTATCGCTTGTGGCTATTATCTTAGGCTAAAACTGAAAGTGAGATTTGGTTAAGATTCTCTTTTTCTTGAAAAACAAAAAAAAAAGACAAAAGTTAGCGGCTGTTGTCTTGTAAGCTTAAGCCCGAAAAGACATTGATTGATGCGGTTTTTGCATTTTTTTAGCTCTTTTGCTTTTTATTGACCACAACTCTCTGTTGCGACTGTTAGTGCTAGTTATATTTCAAAAACCCACTTCAAAAAAGTAGCCTATAAAAATTGCTAACAATTCTTCAATTGCAAACTGAATGAAAAATGAGTATCTGCAATGAGAAAATTGCTATTTTCCAATCACACGGCATCTAGTCATCGAACCGCCCCCACAGCACAGCGCACGCCGTCTGCCGGCTTTCAAAAAGAGTAGAAAAACCAGCGTAGCAACACAATAGAGACCGCAACATCATACATCAGACATTTTTCTGCCACAACAATTAAACATAGAAACACAGTCGTCAGCAGAAGGCTTAACTTTCACTACATTGCTAGCAAAAAGTCATCAAAAAGTGGATCATACTCAAACAACGCCCACAACCACACTCACAGTTACATATATACAGCCATATTCATTATATTGATTTACCTACACAATAAAAATTCTCCTCCCTTGCAATTTATTCCGACCACATTTTGTGCTCTGCCTTTTTTCCTTATCTTCTTATCATTTTCTCTCTCTATTTTTCTTTGTCTTCCACAGATATGGCCGTTGGGTGACACGACGCATCGCAATCATTACAATTGCCGCCATTTGGCTGCTGGCCGCATTTGTCTCGTTTGTGCCAATCTCTTTGGGTCTGCATCGGCCGGAGCAGCCGTTAATCGTTGAGGATAATGGAAAACGGTATCCCACGTGCGCGCTGGACCTGACGCCAACCTATGCGGTCGTCTCCAGTTGTATCAGCTTCTATTTTCCATGTCTCGTCATGATTGGCATCTACTGTAGGTAAGTAAAATGCTATACATACAAATACAGGGAATAACGATGCAGGAGATGAAGAGAGAAAAATGCGAGAATTGGAATTTAAATCACCCGTTGCTATGCTTTGGGTTCTGCCTTTCCATCTCCCATACATTGGACTAATAGAACACTGCAGAGTGGACTGAGACAACAAAATTGATTGCCATTTCAGTTCGTGACCAAAAAGTAATGTTGTTTGATTCTCAAAGGCGATTAATTACACAAGTTTAAACGATGTCATGGAAAAATGTACTACATTTCGTGGAAGAAATAGTTTCAAGTAGGCAATAGTTTACTACAAAATTAAAATAAAAATGTCTAGTACATGCTCGTATAAAAAAAAATTCCTCCAATAGAATTCATAGATATTTTCTAGTATAGGTAAAGACTACTGGATATGCAAATCCAGCAGAATATTTATACATATGAAGAATTTTGCTAGCTGTCAGCATGTCCCTTAGAAAAGCACGCCTATTAGCATTGCTTTTCATTCATTTTAAATACCATTGAAAAGGCACTACGCTCTAAAAAATCTGTTTAAAAAGGCGACTTTAAATCGAGTATATTTTTGTTTATTTTTAAAACGTTTTGGTAAATTTACACGATGAATATATATTTTTTTCATTTACACATTTTCGTGTATAAAAATCCTTTTTGTTAGCGGATTTACACCATTCTACGGGTGAAATCAAACAGCAGATGTGTTATTGTAGCTTGTACACATTTTCGTAGTAAATTTACGCACACCAAAGAAGCTATATTACGCTCTAAAAAGTCCGAAATTTAAACAAACTATTCGTTGAATAATCAAGCATGTAATTTCGCGAATAATAAGGCAGGAAATCAGTAACCTACCTTTTAGGTAGGAAATCTACACAATTTTTTTTTAGAGTGTAGCCTATAAATAATTTGCATTAGCTGTAATACGCAAAAGTAACCTTGCGATGTTTTTTGGCTGTAATTTAAAAAAAAAATGAAAATCTTTGATTCTTCTTGTGGATTATTTTTATTTGGTCTTTTAATTTTTTTTACATCAAGTCGAGAATATGATGCCATGTAAATGGCCGCCGCCACAGTTGATTGCCATTTGAGCCCTTTTTATGGCATTTTCCATCACTTTGGCCAAAACTTCCGGCGATAGGTCCTCACATTCTTGACGGATATTGTCTTTAAGAGCTCCAAGAGTCTGAGGCTTGTTGACATAAACCCGCAAAAGCCCCACAAAATGAAGTCTGGAGCGGTCAAATCAGGCGATCTTGCTGGCCAGTGCAAATCGCCAAAACGGGAGATTAGGCGCCCGGGAAATGCATCCTTCAGCATATCGGTTGTGGCACGTGCAGTGTGTGCCGTTGCACCGTCCTATTGGAACCACATGTTTTCCAATCCCAATTCATCAAGTTGCGGCAAAAAGAACTCGTTGATCATTGCTCTGTAGCGCTCACCATTCACAGTAACCGTAACTCCTCCAGCGAAAACAGCACACCATACAGTGACTTTGAGCGGGTGTAATGGCTCTTCGTGGGTTACACGCGGATTTTCAATGCCCCAGAAGCGTAAATTTTGCTTATTTACGTACCCGCTAAGATGGAAATGGGCCTCATCACTCATGATTATTTTTGATGAAAAATCATCTTCCTCTTGGTGGCATATCAATATCAGCAATATTCCGCGTTCTGGAGCAGTGTAGCGTAACATTGTTTATTAACGTGTATTTCGCATGTGTTTACTACACAAATGTCAAAACAGAACTGACAGTAGGGGCCAATCGCAGAATTTATAGCATTTTCTGATAGGAGGATTACTTTAGCGCCACCTTGTATTTGTCGCCTCTCAGGGAGAAATAATACCAGAATATGCATTTAAAGTGGTCTAAAAATGCATGTGAAAAAGCAAAGTCGGAATTTTAATGCTATCACCCGTTTGAATTGTTCTATACCGAAAAAATATATTATTTAGAAACCAAAAAATGTTTAGAGGTGGCTCAAAGCGATTAAAGTCTTCCTTGTATGTTATATTGGAAAAAACAACTTTTCGTAGAAATGATACAGAATTCTTGAAAATCAATATTTTTCGATCTCTTCAAATCGCTCCCAATAATAGTACCCAGTTGTTTATTTTACACCTTCATAGTAACTATATTTTAGAGGTCCCCCAAAAACCCCTTAATATGCAATGGAAACCCATTAAAAGTCGTTTGTATTGGGTATTATAACTGGAAGTCTCCTGAAGAGAGTCCGAGTTTTCCGATCAAAAATATTGATTTTCAAAAATTCTATACCACCTCTGACATGAGTTTTTTTCCCATATAAAATACATGGTAAACCATTGACCACCCTAATATGTACACATACAAGACATGTTTTAGGCATGCGTACAAAAACAAGATCAACGGAAATAAGGTCAATTGGCATTATTTCGCATACTGGTGCGACATAAAGTCAATTGACATTATTAGATACCTTTTCAAAGCGAAATAAAGTCAACAAAAATTTGAAAATAAAGTAAATGTTGATATTTCCTCAATCCTGCCTTGGAAATTGGCTCAACAATGCTTAGGGTATGGTGATTCAAAGAAAAAATGTTCTTGCATCGTACGTGAGATATGATGAATGTTGTTACAATAAAGATTGCCCCGTTAATGTTGTTTCCATAGATGAAACAGGTTATTGCCAAATCCTCAGTGTGCTATTGATCAACACAGAATTATGCCAGTGTGCCGTAATGCGGGTATAAACAATTGTTGATTATTTTTATTGTCGTTTAGCTAGACATAATGAGATAAACTTATACACATTTCTGAGATTTATCGTTTTATGAAAAGTGGCCGTAATTTTAGTCAGATTACAGAAATACTTATTTCCAATTCCTTATTCATACTATTTCTAACAAAAACAGTTTACTGACATAAAGAAAAGGAACTTTGTTTATTCCAAAAATACAATTAAACATTTATTTTTACTTATGAAAAGTTTAACAATATATAGGGAAAGTGTCGTCTTTAATAACTGCTCGGCAAATTGGACATAGCGCTTTTGTATGTTTGTCTGCATGCTTTTTAATATGTTAAAAATATTGTTGGAAATCCTTAAAATCTCTGCATGGAACCATGGCTTAATAAACAGGTGAAGTAATAAAACAGCTTCTTCGCTTTATTTTCTGACATTCGGCTGCCTTATAGTCACAATTTATAGGCAAACTTTCAAATAAAGCAGTGTTAAAATCTCTCTCACTCTAATATTACTTCACCTGGTATAATACCATCATGGGTGGGGTGCATGCAATAACACCATACGCAATAATTCCCGTTACTTGGACATTAAAAAACAGTTTCAGAAGTGAGCTAGTGTCATTTTATTGTTATTCTTTTTTCTAAACGGTTATAATGCCACGAGTGCATAATTGCGAAGGGAGGGGACAGGGGCGGCTACGCGAGCGCGAGCGCGACGTCAAACGCGGACCGCCGCGACGCTGGGCACTTTCAAAATTGTAGTCTTACAAATCCGTCCATTTAACTTGTTTGTGTACTACCTTTTGTCAAATGTACTACCTGTGTGCACTATTTTGCTTTATTACTCAATTATTAAGTTTAAAAGTTGGTCTTATTGCTCAACGAGAAATGAAATAAAACAAATTTGTCTTATTTCATATTCAATTGGGAAATAACACAAATTTGCGTTATTACCGTTTGTGTTGTTTTACCTCCCCGAAATACAGTTCTCGAATATTTGTATGGATCTTCGGCTCAGATAACATGAAAAGATCTGCATATATATTTACAAATATTTTTCAAGTTTTCTCAAATAATAAAATAAAATGGTTTGGGGGAGTACCATTAAAAATAGGGGGATCTTTTTTCTGCAAATTGGGCTTTGTATGACCCTTTTTTCTAATGTTTTTAAAGAACATCTTTAAGCACCATACGTATTTAAAATATTTACCACGAGTACTATAGCCCCAAAAGCTTCCGCTTTATTCGTTTAAATAAATCGCCTCCTAGTTCTATTGTTGTTAGCTTGTACATATATATATATATATATACCAGTTTGGGCGATTGTGTTTTTTATTGTGGTTGTTGTTAGTAATGACGTGTCGATTATTATGCTTCATTATCCTACGAAGCACATACATATGTTAATGTGTAATTATGTACAATATATGTTCGTATGTATTTAGTTGTGGTCTTAAGCATGTAAGTGCTCGTATGTGCACACATGCTCATTATGTATGTATATACTCATATTTAATGGCGCACGTTGCTCATACGCCACGTGTGGTCATATAAATAAAAGGAAAACTTATGTAACACATGTTGCAAGGTACATTAAATGCTAGTGTTGACATCTTCTATTTTGGCATTCAGCACGCTTAGCATATAAATAAATACTTAAAGTAGATTCCTGAGACTTTGACCTTAACTATGTACAAGGAAATATGTATGTATGTACATTAGACCGTATAAAGATGTATGGACAAAAAAAATTTAATTTCTTTCAAGCGATTTTGAACACTCTGAAAGGAAAGTCCAAATTTTTTTGACAACGGCTAAATCGGCGTTTTTCTACCACTTTTTTTATTTGATATCCGATTTCTATAAATTATACACCATTGCAACGGTATTAAAAAAGTCTAAATGCTTCCTCCATTACGTTATTACTAATAGTTAGCCGTTGTTTAAAGTAAATTTGTTATCATTTTTCTTAAAAATCGGTTATAACTTGATATTCAGATTATATTTCTGACACATAATAGGAGAAACTCGGCCAAACACTAACATATGTATGTGTAAGCGCCAATCTATCAATCATTATTAATAATAGGTATATTCGTTTAAAATCTAAAGTAAAAAGTATCCACAGAAAAATTCATGCGAAATGTTTTCTTTTCTCTCACAAGAAAAAAATATGCAGAATAGTTCGCGAACAGAAAATTTCCAGAAACTTGCAAGTTCGACAAACAGCTGATAGAATTTTTGTTAACAATTCAAT